GAAGAAGAAGAAGAAGAAGAAGAAGAAGAAGAAGAAGAAGAAGAAGAGTCAAAAGTCTCTTATTTGGGTTTTGGAAAGCTGGAAGGGAAAGAAAGAGAGACTCTAGTAATACAAGCATGGACTCCAGACATCTCAGCAATGAGCAGCCATCTGAGCCCCTCCCCTGCAGCGAGTGGGAGAGGGCGCTGTTCTGCGCAGCCTCCGCTGCCGGATTCCTGAGTGTAGCAAATTCCAGGCTCCAGACTGCAGGCTCAGCCTCTGACTAACACTACAGTGATTTATTTGAGGATAAATACCTCTGTCAGTGTCTCATGACTGAACACAGCAGAGCAGGCAGATTGGCATGCGTGGAATGCGAGGACGCGGGCTGAGGCAGCAGAGGCCAGGGCCGCCTCCAGCTGCAGAGCGCTGTCTGCAGGAGGGACCCTGCTCCCGGCACCACTGCGCCCCTCTAGAGCAAGTCCAGTGACTACACACCACTCATCTGCATATGAGGACATGGACTGGCACAACCCAGACGACCAGGGCCCACCAAGTCCTGAGAATGCAAAGTGGCATACAATGCCCTAGTGAGAGCCAGCCAGACCAAGTCACAGACGAAAAGAACTTCAGCCTAAGCCTCTTCATGCTGAAAATGGGCTTAAGAGATAGGCTGGAGAGATGGCTCAGCAGTAAAGAGCACTGGCTGCTTTTCTGGATGTCCCAGGTTGAATTCCCAGCACCCACAGGGAGTCTCACAACCGTCTAGCCCCCCACAACTCTAGCCCCTCACACCAACATACATGCAGGCAAAATACCAATGCATTTTCTTTTCTTTTTTTTTTTTTTTTTAAGTAGAAGAAAAAAAAGAAAGTTGTAAAGAGAGAAAGAAACAAAGAAAAAGGAAAAAAAGAAAAAAAATAGAAAATGAGGGCCACAGAAAACACTGGGGTGTGCAAAGCCAATCAAGGATCAGAATTCCAGTCCTCTGACACTAAGAAAGGCTTTCCTGCCCCAGGCTACCTCCACCTGTGACCAGCCATACAATGGAGTGCTCCCCAAGGCACAACACTGGACAACCCATGCAACAGCAGCCTTCCAGTCAGATACCCACAGACACCCAGCATTGATTTGCATAATGGCCAGCAAAGGACAATGGTAAGAAAAGCCAGGTTTTCCAGACTGTGCCCACAGGAGGTCTAAAGGGCTGCTGGCCTCCAAGAGGGAAAAGAGTAAGAGACTGTAGGGGTTGAAAGGAAATAAAATCTCATCTCTGGACCAGTCGCTTGACATCTTCCCGGCGCATGAATGCCACCTATCTTTTATAAACAATGCCCTCTATCAATAACTCACGGCATCATAAGGCCATGATGGGTGGAAAGGTGAAAGGAAAACACAGCCCAGCCCAGAGCAAGCACGATCCCAAAGGGGCTGGAACTTACAGGTGGGGGCTGAAGATACGGCTCATCTTGGAGACGTGATCATTTTCACAGTCCAGGTCCTTGTCCCCAGGTTCCATGCTGAATTTCCTCTTGCTGGGACTGATGGGGGGCGGGCCTGTGCGGTGACTGCTGAGAGCAGAGGCCACCGGGAGGGTCTGCATTCTAGGTTCTCCTCTGAGAGAGGCTTCACCTACGCAAAGAAGATGCGGATGTTATCACCAGGCAGGAGAAGCACCCCATTGTGGTCTCCACGGTCCCCTCGCTCCCTGCCCCCACCCCACCCCCTTGCAAAACATCTCTCTGTGGAAAGTTTTGGCAATACAGCAGGCAGCCTGCCATTCTCAGAACATGGTCTGGGCATGCAGCCACTGCCAAGCAGGGGACATTTGACATCAGCAAGGTTTGCCAGCACTCGCTCTTTAGGGTAGAGTTTAATCGAGAAGTTGCTATAAACAGCTGAGAGGGGAAAACTGATCGTGAACAATTCCCAAAGGGACATTAAAACTGGGAAGGCCCTTTGATTCTCAGGGATCCAACTCTATACCTTTATGAGAAGGTAAACAAAACTGCTGTTGACAAGCTGATTTTGCTGTTTTTATTACATTTTTTGAAATGTGTATGTGGGTGCCCATGGAGGCCAGAAGAGGTTGTTGGATCCCCTGGAGCTGGAGTTATGGGCAGGTGTGAGCTGCCCAACATGGGAGCTGGGAACGGAAGCCAGGCTCTCTGGAAGGGTATCAAGTGCTCTTAACCATTGAGCCACCTCTCTAGCCCCAAGCTGCAACTCTCAAAATGTGTTTCACACTTGAGGGCTGTGTCCGGGTCTACTTTAACAGGTGTGCATTTCTGGGCTACTGTCAGGGGGCTTCGAGGTCAGAGACAAATTTGTGCCTGGTTGTGAATCAAGACAGGCATGGCCTTTCAGATGCGAAGGGCTTTGCATCTTCTCAAAGTTGTAACGAGAGAGTTACAATCACTTTGCATGAAAACTATCAACTTTCCAAGTCCTGAGGAGGCTAGCTCTTTCACACAGAGAACCCCCCAGGGCTGAGCAGCTCCACATTGGCTTCTGAGGCCTGACCAATCTTACTTTCACCATCACCATCAAGAGTCATGTTAGTGTGAAGTCAGCTTTGTCGGAGGCACTGGGGCACCCAAGAAAAGCCACCTCATGACCACTCACTTACTCTCATACCATCCCTGATTTGCAGCCGTCAAACAGGCATCTGCTTCACACACAGGCAACAAACGCGATTTTGTTAGCAGGAAGGAGGGAGGGCAAGGCCTTTTGAGTATCCACCAGGAAAAACAAAAACTCTGCCAGTTTAGACAGCAAGATATAAACTTGCAAATATACAGTGACCTGTAATACACCCCCAGCAGGATTTCTTGTACGGCCCCTGGCCACAGGGCAGACTGGAACTTTCCATACTACACAGAATCGCTCCACATGGAGTCCTATCCTGGTCTACCTCTCTCACAGACGCTGGCTGATTTCGCTGGACCTTGGCTCCCTTTCTGCTAACCTTTGGTTGAGAAGTGTTCATTATCAGACCTTGAGAAGATACAAGTTTTCTTCCTTCCCTGGCCTCTCATTCCTTCCCCAGCCGTTTCCTGGGCTTCTTCTACTAAGCAGAGATGCTTCTTTTTAGACTCTGGTGAGCAGACGAAGAACCCCATGAAACCCCAGGAAGTCACTAGCCCTGCAGACCAACCCACGTGGAACGGCCTACACTATACACACTCCGTGCCCAGTGTTTCCCAACACTCCTGGCAGGAGCAAAGAAGTGGGGAGGACACAGGCTCAGCATGGACCCCAGAGTTTCAGGAGCCATTTCATCAGCTGCCTGCTGGGGCAACAGACATTGCTATGGAAACAATTGCCACAGCAACAAGTTCCAAGGGGTCCAAAATAGGAGCAGTCATTCAGGACAGCAGCCCTGGGGCAGCCCAGCCTCAGGATAGAAGCCACCCAGAGGCCCCTTCATGTGGGAAGGTGCCCATAGAGAGGCCAGGCCCTTGGTGGCTGCACTGCACATGCTGGGTGAAGACAGCACTCCATTCCACACTCCCAGGCTATGGCAGGAAGCGACGGGTGTTTGCTCCACTTGAAGCAGAGAGTGGCTGAACTTCAGTGAGGCCAGCACAGAGGAAGAAACGTCCACAGGAGATTGTTTAGGAATAGAGTGGGGACAAAGGACTCTGAAGGAACTTCGGAGTCCCCTGCAAATGAGGGCATAAGTCCTGGGCAGCACCGGCTACACAGATGAGGTGACAGACGACCAGGGTGAAAAGAATGGCTTGATGAGGTGAGCCGCAGACAGGAAGTGTGTCCTCTGAAAGTCAGACCAACGCCTTAACGCCTCCCTAAACACAAAGCTGAGGGAGGAGCAACAATCCTGAGTGGTGACGGGGGGTCTAGCCTTTTGCTCATGTTTGGGTCCACCCTCCCCGACCCTCCCCCAGCTACCTGCACCTCCCCCCGCCCCCGCACCACCACCAAGGGAAGCTGTCCAATGCTTATATTTTAGAGCCCATTTGCTATGCTCTTGTATGTGGCAGAGCAGGTTAGAATGATTTCAGCAGGGTGCAGGGGCAGAGCAACTTCCTAGGACATACCTGAGATTGATCTCCAGAACCGTTAGTGAAGAAATCCTCCCCCGACACACACACACACACACACAGACACACACACACGTTCCAACCTGCTACTTCCACCCTCAGCAGCAGTGCCTTAAACATCATCCCCCGATTAAGGATAAGCAAAATTTCTCTTGGCCTAGGACTTCATAAGTATCAGCATATATTTATTTTAAGGGGAAAAGAGAACAGACAGGAAAGAGCTGGAGGCCAAGCCCTGCCCTAGGTCCACAGGGCACCATCCCTAGCCCCATGTACAAAGGTAAGGAAAAAGACAAAGCTATCCTTTGTGTGACATGCTGCCACACGTGAGCAGTTATACCAAAGTTACACTGGAACGGACGGACAAGAGGAGGCCAGCACACTGCCTCATCCGAAGTCCTGCCTGTGAAGGATTCTAAAACTTTATTTTCTGAACACAGTGACACTAGCCAGACACGCCACCAGCCAGCTGCTGCTTTCTCGCCTTTTACAGTCAACAAAACACAGAACTTAACTTTCAAAGCAGCCTGCTGGCTGGCTGGCTGGCTGGCTGGGACAAGGCCTCACCGTGTGGCCTAGGCTGGCCTCAACCTCATCTTGCTGTCATAGCCTCACCGTTCTGGGACTACAACAGAGCATGCCACCATGGCCAGCTACACTAGCCTTTGACAAAAAAACCTTCAACTAGCCCCAGAGCTTACTGTTCCCCTTCCCTTCCCCCGATCGCTCTTCCCCACGCTTGAACCTAAAGTCAAAACACCAGACCACAGCTCCCCACGACAGCCACTCGGCTGTACTAGCATGTCTCCTGTCTGACCACAGCCGTGGTGACCAGGCTGACGTCACTGTCTCGGCGGGAGGGAAGGCACCCCGGTACAAGATCTGCCATGCAACATTGCACAACCCTCTCAGAGGCTCAGGGCCGTGTGGGGTAGGGGCCCAGGCAGCTGAGGCACGTTTATTTTCTTTTAAATAACGAGTCTCCCGTCACAGGGATGAACAGCTGGGGAGAATGTGCAGCAAAATCAGCCCCTTTTAAACAGTTCAGCTGTGGCCATTCCCATTCTGGGTCACTTTTTTTTTTTTTAAGAAGGGGGTTGTTGGTCAACTCAGTGAGCAGGCCCAAGCCAGTAGAGATAAAAGTGGGACATACCGTCTGCCACAGTACAAGTCCAGCCCACACTTCTATCACTCAGTGACCAAGCCCTTGTCCTCCAGCCCTCCGGTTATAACAAACATTGCTCCTCAGAACCACAGCCCCAGTGCTCAAAGCCAGACCTGACAACCAGGAGGCTGAGCCCAGCCAAGAAGAGCCTGCCCAGCCAGCCGGGCCTGCGTGGCCAGAGAGTCAGGAAAACCACCATCTGTATGGACAGCATTCGGCTAGCAACAGATCTCATGTAGAGCCAGTGGCCTGGCTGAGCTGAGGGCAGCCTGTGGCGCTGAGGCCACTTTCACACAAGGACCACACAGGCCAGGAGGAGTAAACTGGGCAGCTGTAAAGACAGCAGACCTCCTAGCAGCATCAGGAAAAGCACAGTGATGCCCACTGCATCTCAACCCAGACGCACAGAACCCAAACACCATGGAGGTACGAGGGCTCTGGGGAGCCCAGGGGCTGAGCTGTCTACAGGTGGGGGACACTCTGGCTGTCTGCAGGTGGGGAGAAAGGTTCAGACTCCACTCAGAAGATAATGATAGAAGAGCTCCCAGTGTGACCTGGTCCCACAGAGCACCGCTGGTACATGAAAACCAATGTCCACAGCCTTATCCTGTTTTAAGTATCTATAATTCCACGGAGAATAAGTGACAACAGGATTTATTATTTGTTTAATTTCAACAAGGGGAGGGAGAAATGGCATTGAGGTTAGGAGCACTTCCTACTCTTCCAGAGTTCAGTTCCCAACACCCATATTGGGCAGCTCACAACCACCTGTAACACCAACTCCAAGAGATATGATGCCCTCTTGTGGCCTGTTCAGGTACTGCATGTACATGATACATAAACACAGCCAGAGAGCATCAAAAACCTTAACAACAACAAAAAAGTCCCAACTACACGACACCGATAGTTCTCAACATCCACTGCACTAAAGTCATTTTTAAACACCGAGGAGAAAGGTCACTTTGACTACCAAAAGGTACTAAAATACGCTGACTACAAAACTGCTACAGCCGTACCCAGACACTGCCACAAGTCCCTAATGTGTAAAACCATCTCCTGCCCTCTCCTCAGACCACAGCTTGTACCAGCGGCTCCAGAAATGCATAACGCTGCAGCTTCGGTGCAACTGCCACCAAGCAGCTCCTACCACATAAGCTTCCCCACGCAACAGCCATGGGAAACACTGTCTGGGCAGTGCTTGCTTGCTAAAAGATTTATTTTTATTTGTCTGTGTGTGTGTGTGTGTGTGTGTGTGTGTGTGTGTGTGTGTGTGTGTGTGTGTACGTGTGTGTGCATGAATAGGAGTAAGTGCAGATACTTATGGAGGCTAGAGGAGGTCATCAGATCCCTGGAGCTATAGTTACAGGTCATCGTGAGCCATCTGGCCTGGGTGCTACAAACAG